GGCCCCGTGCAGGGTGCAAATTGTATTTCTTTGTCAGTGCCGACGCTGTCTACAGCTCTGCCGTCGAGTCTGCATTTGGCAGAGTCACAGAGAGCAGACGTCCCACCTCCCTGTCCTCAACACGTTGAAACAAACGTGAGATACAGCCTTCCCCTTCTTTCCACAAGTATGCTCCTGTCATGCTCTCCCAAGACATTTTATTATAAGGTATTCATAGATGTTGCACAAAATAATTAAAGATAGCTTACATGGGAAGAAAAAGTAAAAGACAATGCAGCTAATAGGCTGGAACTTGAAAGTCAAAGCTTTAGCAAAGGTAGAGAAGCAAAACTGCTCAGAGAACCCTGTGATTAGTCATTATACTTGTCTTTGAGCTTCCTGGCAGCCTTGGCAAAATGGTAAATATCACAGGTTATATGTTTGTGTTTAGGTATCAGGAAAAGCACAGTACAATTTTTATATATATATTTTTTAGCTAAGTTCTGAGATGTACTTATCATATATTATGTATAGTATGTAATAGGGAATATCTTGAACAGTAGTATTTTATCAAATACAGAAGTCGCTTTTGAGATCTTTCTTGCTTTGGTGATTGACACAGGTTGAAGGAAAACAAAACCTTATTAGGTAAAGGCATTTTGCAAAGACTGAGCCAGTGTTATCCAGGGTATTACAGGCCTTTACAATTTTTTTGACAGCGGTTGTTTGGTTAGGGCTAAGGGAATCCTGTCTTCTAATCAGCAGCCAGTGTTTGGGATGTAGCTGGCCGAGAACAGAATTTTTCTCTAGCTGATCCACCAGAAACCCTTATTCTGGTTCGGCATTAACAGAGCTCAGGGGCACAAAGGGGCAAGCAGCTCCTACGAGAAACAAAGTCTTTCATTTCTTGCTGCCACAGTCTAAGCTGGCTCTTCTGTGTCTGAATTCATTTCCTGTGCATCAGGAGTTCACAGTCTTATTTTAGCTCCAGCATCACCCCAGGACAATAGATCCTGTTTTGATAGCCTTTGTGTATAACAAACCACCCCAGAAGTTAGTGACTTAAAACAGCAACCATTTATTGGCTCCTAATTCTGTAATAGGGACTGGGACCATGATTCTGTAATAAGGGCTGGACCTCTGTAATAAGGGCAGCTTATCTCTGCTCCACGAGGTGTCAGCTGGGCTCCCTGTGTCCGCAATCTGCTGGTGACTGAAGGATTCGGGAGGGTCTCACTCACATGTCCGGGGCCTCAGCGGGTAGCCTACATAAATGGGGACTCTCTGGGCCTCTCATCCACAAGGAGGCTGGCTCGGGCTTCCTTACTTGGGGCAGCAAGAGAACGAAGGCCCGGGCCGTGCAGGAGGTCCCCCTGCTGCACCCTGTTGTCATATGGTCGGCCCAGAGTCAGTATGCGAGGCAGCTACACAGGAAGTGAGTTCAGAGAGGTGGGATTCCTGAGGGGTCATTTGGTGGCAATCATCCAGAGCCCTGTCCCATCAATACCACAGTAACAGTGGTCCCCACAGGCGGTGACTCTCACCTGAGGGGGGAGGTACTACCCCAGTTCTCACTCCCGGCCCTGCACACGGGCCACTGAACTGTCAAACAGCAAGCTTTGTGAGCTCGCTAACGTTTTCAAAAAGGATGCATGAGGGTGGACTTTGAAGTGGTGAAACCGTGTTTTAAGAAGGCTCCTGTCAACCATACTTGAAGACCTTGTAAGCATGGGACACCTTGAGTTATGCTGCTCTGTGGTCAACCTCCTGACATCTGTGAGACAGTGGCCACCCCAGGCTTCCCCACTCAGCTGTGCAGTCTGAGGTCACGGGGTCATTTTTATATCAGCTCACGTGCGATAAGCAGCGTGTTGGTGGCAGCACAGGTCAGCTGCATCTTCTCTGGGCTGAGGTGAGAGCGCCTGGCAGCCCCCACTGGCCCTAGGTCCGGACCAGGTCACCCTGTTTAAAGGAATGACTCCAATGACGACAAAGTGCATGTGCTTTCCGCTCGCAGAAGCTGCAGAACTGGAAGGGCCAGATAGCAGACGCTGAATGACAGACTCGGGCTTTGACTTTGGATAAGCAGTGCCAGTCTTTTAAAACATTAACGACAGAGAAGTGAACCTAAGATCCTATGTTTTGGCCCAGAGCATGCGTGTGCACACACACAGCAAGCGTGCACGCAGGCACCCACCCACGCATGCATCCATGAAGACGGGATGAGGAGGCTTGACTTAGCAGCACCTGTAAAGAGGACCTGTAGATGTGTGTTCCCAGGAAACTCAATTGGAGCCCAAAGTAGGCAGAGGTAACGTGACCTTAAACCTCACGAACAGGGGCACAGATTCTAGATTAAGGGAGGTGATTCGTGTTCTCTATTCTCTATAGTCCAGTTTACTCCAGGAGTATTGGGCCAATTTTTAGGTGCATAGGTTAAAGGTGTTAGAGAAAAAATAACATATTTAGAGGGACATTCAAGATGATAAAAGAACTTGAACTCATGATGTAGGAGGAAATAAGAGGAACTAAAGACATTTGACCTAAAGACATCCTCAGCAAGGACCGAAGGGTGGTCTTCACCTCCGAATGGCTGTCATATGGAAGAGGGACTGGATCTGCCCTCTGTGGCCACAAAACAAGGCTTGGACCAAAGGAGTAGAAGGCCAAAGGATGCTGGCATTTGAGGGCAAAAGGAAAAAAGCATCTCATAGTGGGCGTGGCCAGCGAGGAATGGACTGCAGAGAATTCCTGTCTGGGGGCTGGGGATGCTGAAGGGTCACTCATCAGGACAGACAGAGGGGCTTCAAACCTTAGGTGGGTACTTGGGTCAAAACTAACTTTAAAATCCTGTCCAACTAACTCTGAGGTCTTGGGATTCGTAGGGACTTGCTCGAGGTCACAGAGCAAGTTAGAAGCTGTCCAGAGTCTCCGGCCCCCTCTCCGCATGTCTGCCTTGGACGCCCAGTGTCCTCGCCTCCTTGATGATAACTCAAGCAGGGGTACAAAAAGCAGCCTAAGGCCACACCCATCCCTTCAGGCCTGTTGGTTTGGGCAGTGTCGCGGGCAAACAGATGTGAAGTCAATGCTGTAGGAGAGCATACCCAGTCTGCAGTCACCCTGAGCCTCACTGACCTCTCTGGGTCGGGGCCCTTGCGCACGTTTCTGTCTTCTGTTCGGCTGCCGTGGCCTTGCTGCTGGCAGGCTTCTAGCCTGGGGCAGGGCAGAGGAGGAAGAGGGTCCCAGACCCGAGCATATAAAGAAGGCTTTGTCGACCAGAGAGAGATCCTCGGATTTTAGGGAAGGTCAGCTCCCTGCTCCCTCACAACTCCCAGTGCGATGGCAACTCTGAGGAAGGACGGAGGGAAGGGAGCTAACCTCTTTTTTTTTTAGCATTTACTGTATTATACATTTTTCACACATTGATCCCATTTAATCCTCATAACAACCTGGTTTTCTAGGACTACAAAGTGCAAAGCACCTCGAACTAGGTGGCTTCGAACACCGAAGTGTACTTTCTCACGGTTCTGGGGTACAAAATAAAGGTGCAGGCAGGCCATGCTCCCTCTGACAGGGGCAGAGAAGGGTCTGTTCCAGGCTTCTCCCCTGGCTTCCTGTAGCCGCGTGTTCCTCGCTGGTAGATGGCGTCTTCTCTTTGTCTCCTCACCTGTCTGCCTTCCGTGCGTGCCTGACTCCTATCCATCAGACAGACTGGCTTAGCGCCTAATGCCCTTATCTTAACTTGGTTAAATCTGCAAAGACTCTACTTCCAAATCAAGTCTATTCTGAGGTACTGGGGGTTAGACTTTAGCATATCTTTTTGGGGGGACACAATTCAACCCATGAAAGTTCACTCTCTAGTCACCCCAAGTTCATGTCCCTTCCATATGCAAGATAAATGCACCCCACTGAAACATCCTCACAGACAGCCATGACTGGTTCGGTAGCAGGCCGGTGGTCCTAACGCTCATTCCTGGAAAGCAGATTTGAATCGCTGTGTTGTTGCCTCCAACCGCTGTCCTCTTTCTGCTACACTCTGGCACCGCCATGGGGCACATCTACCGTGTACCCGGCACTGTGCCGGCCGCCTCGTGCCCTTGTCTCACACCGAGTGGGCTGCTTATCTGGTGGGGCCCCAGCCTGGGCACAAGAGGGACAGAGCTCCTACCATTCTCTGACAAGGGCAGGGCTCAGCCAGGGGGTCTGTGCAGGCCCTGGCTGAGAGGGTGGGAGGAGAGGTGACGGAGGGGCCAGTGCTGGAGAGCACAGGGAAAGAGTGGAACTTGACTTCTGGGGAGGGGCTGTGGTCGCAGGTGGGAGAATGTGGCCCACTCAGGTCATCGGGGCGGGGGGCTTCGTGGGCTGTTCCTGAGCCGCCGTGGAAAACAGTGGGTGTGGCTGCTGTGCTCTCACGGCTGCGGGGCGAGGGCCTTGCTCTGCTGCTGCAGGCCGTTTACAGTTGTGAGAAAGCAGGGGACTCCAGTGTACCCAGGCCCAGCCCCAGCAGGCATCAGCCAATGGCAGCTGCCCACAGGGCCCCTGGTCATGCACTTCCCAGGAAGATGGAGATCCAGGCAGGAGCGGGTCCTGGGCTGTCATCCTCGAAGATGCGGCTTTGTCTCGGGGTTAGGGGAGACTGGTGGAGGGCACTGGGAGGACGGAGGCTGCTGAGCTGCTGAGAAGAATGTGGCTTTTGCAGCTACGGCTTGAAGGCAGACGCTCACAAGCTGCACGGCAGTGGGCACGTGGATAAACCCTCTGAGCCTCGTTCCCCCAGGGTCTGTTGTGAAGATTAAACAGTGTGTGTGTGAGGCATGTGATCCTGAGTGAGTTACCAGGCTCAGTCAATACGATTTTCACCTTAAAGTCTGAGCGGTGCTGGCCGTCCTGGGAAACACCGAGGAAGACCTGGGAGGGGATGGACTCTCCAGCCTCTCTCTGGGGTCATTTCACCATGAAAGGGGGGATGTTTTGATCGCCCCTGCCCCTGTTGCACTAACCATGTATGATCTCGCTCACAGAGGAGCTGAAGGAGAAGCTGACCGAGTACGTGGACAAGGTGAACGGCCAGAAGCCAGGCTTCATCAAAGTCGTGCGCCACAGCAAGCAGGAAGGCCTCATCCGCTCCAGGGTCAGCGGCTGGAGGGCGGCCACTGCCCCCGTAGTGGCACTCTTTGATGCCCATGTGGAGTTCAATGTGGGCTGGTAAGTGCCCATCAGGAGAGGAGGATGGTCCAGGGGCTTTGGCCCAAATGGGTGCAAAGCATGCTGGGAACTCAATCATGGTAGGGGTAAGCAGAGAATTCTGGGAGCAGGTGAGATCTGGGTGTATGCATGACTAGGCAACAGGGCTGGCCCTTGGCCGGGGAGTCAGGGGTCAACAGGGTCAAACACATTGTCTAAAGGGCATGGTAACAGCAGGTGTGACTTTGGCTGGCATGGTCCTCTAGGGGACATAATCTGGCAGAAGGGTAAATGCTAAGGGCAAAGCCAAGAGTGCCAGCCCAGCTAGAGACAAGACTGCAACCCCCAGAGAAGTAAGAGCTGGATCAGAAACGAGACAGAGCCCAAGCACACAGGTGGGGCGAAGGCCTGGTGGCAGAGGGGTAAGGTGGTTTGATGCTATCACAGGTGCCCTGGTTTCCTGAGGCCAGGCCAGCGGAAGCACAGTATCTCCGATTCTCTCTCCTGGTGAAACTAGGTCTTAGAAAACCTGTCCTTCCCCGGTCAGGGCTGCTCAGAGGCTGTGAGGGCGAAGAGAGCACACACGAGGCTTCAGTGGCTTCATCCGAGCAGGGATGGGGCCCCTGACACCGACACCCCCACAGGCCAGAGGGTGTGCTGTGGCCCACTGTGTGTGACTTTGCAGAGAGCACTGAGAATGACTGAGGGCACCACCTTCTGACCACTGTGCCTGAGGGCGCTGGGTCTGCTCTCCTCCCCAGACCCCAAGTGCCATCCTCTGCCCCTCTGGCGTGGGTGAGGAGCACCGTTTGGCAGAAGGAGCAGCCAGGCATGCCCACAGCATGACTGGATTTGGACATTCTTTTACATAACAGGCCAAATTAAGATCGCGGTGCAGCCATTTGTCATAGTTGAAGTCCCTGCTTGCCATTTGTGACTATTTAAAAAGCATTTTCATTAGATTTATAGCCAGGAGAGGAAAGGGACACTTACTATTTCAAGCTGATTTAAATAAACAGTTATGCAACAATTGCATTATTAATAAGAAGCTTATCATTCCTCTCTGCAAACACTTTACTCGCCTACAGCCCATAAGGGCCTTCTGGCTCCCTGGAAGCCAGACCTGCCACCTTTGCTTGGGCAGAGGGGTGGGGGTGGGGCCCAGAGGGCAGGACCCCAGCAGCCCGAGGTCGATTGGTCTCTCACCTCCATGTCCCTGCCATCCTCATCTGCCTTTGTCTCCTGGTTAATGCACTGAATTTTAGCAAAATCAAAGCCCGAATTGAAAGCTTCCCATGAAACCTCAGATCCGTTTTTTCTTCTTTCTTAAGTCTTGATTTTTCTTTTTTCTAGTGGAAAAAGGAAAGCAGGCAGACACAAGAATGTAAGGCACTGAGAATCTCTGAGCTCAGCCCACGAGGTGCTGAAGGAACGGGCAGGCCTCTTGCCAGCCCGGAATGGGGGTGGGTTGTTAGGGCCTCCTTTCCAGGGGGCAGAGCAGCTGTCCCCTGGAGAAGATGACCACGTGTTCCTCCCTCTTTCTGCAGGGGAGGGAGCTTCAGGAGTTGCCAGTCTGGTGTTTCTTCATCTCGGAAGCAATAACCCCTCTCTTCCTCCCTCCTGCTCAGGGCTGAACCTGTGCTCACCCGGATAAAGGAGAACCGGAAACGGATCATCTCCCCCTCCTTTGACAACATCAAATATGACAACTTTGAAATAGAAGAGTACCCTCTGGCCGCCCAGGGCTTTGACTGGGAGCTGTGGTGCCGCTACCTAAACCCCCCCAAGGCCTGGTGGAAGCTGGAGAACTCCACGGCCCCGATCAGGTAAAGCATCCTCCCCTCTGCCTCATCTTCCGGGCGAGAGCTCCCCTCCCAGGCCAAGCCTGTTCCCCACACTCCAGTCTCATCACAGGACGGCAGGGTGGAATGAGGTGGGTGGTGGTGAAAGGGGTTGCGAATGACCTTCAGGCTCTGCTTACAGGCTCTGGTGATCCCCTTTAAAAGAGCCATGGTTCCCAGAGTTCATGCAGAGGCTCAGAGTTACTCGTTCCAACACGTTACTGTGGGATACTTGCTGGGAGCCAACTGCTCGCTCTCTCTGCTGGCTGCTTGGGATCCAGAGTGATTACGACTCAGTCCCTGCCACCAACATCCTGTAGTCTAGTTCAGACAGACAAAATAACTGGAATAAAATAGTTGGAATGAGTCTGGCCGGTGTGGCTCAGTGGCTGAGTGTCAACCCATGCACCAGGAGGTCGCCGGTTCAGTTCCTGGTCAGGACACATGCCCAGGTGGTAGGCCCGATCCCCAGTGCAGAGCACGCAGGAGGCGGCCAGTCGATGTTCTCTGTCATTGATGTTTCTTTCTCTCTCTCCCTCTCCCTTCCTCTCTCTCTAAAATCGATAAAGGGAAAAACAATCATTGGAATGACAAATTTTTCCATGAAGGTAGAAACTGCTTGGCCAGTAGGGAGAGCCCCGCAGAGAGCAGCCTTTCACGTGCTTCTAAGGGCCCGTAGGCCATCGCAGGCTTGGGCCGGGCCTCCACCTGCAAAGAGCAGTGAGTTCATGGGCACCGAGGAGGCTCCCAGGGTCTGGAAGGAGGACCTGAGGGGAGCCTCGGGCCACGAGGCTGGAGAGCAGGAGAGGCAGGACCAGCTCGCAGCACTGTGTGTGCCTGGCCGATACCTGAGCTTATCCTGTGAGGCTCAGACAAAGGAGCTTCAGACTGCGTTTCATAGACCCCGAATTCTTTCCGCCTTTGCTGCTACCTCCACAGACACCCGGATGGCTCCCCTGGCAGCTGGTGTTTAGGGCAGGACTCCTGAAACAGCCGTCCCCACAGGCTTGCCCTGTCTGGTAATCACACATCCGGCGCCTCCGCGCTCCCTGCAAAGTCCTGCCTGTTAAACGCACAGACAACACCAGAAGGTGGTAGGGGACAGTACCTGGAATGAAAGACACTAGACACTGATGTCACTTTGTATTACATGAGGAAGAAAGATTATGAATATTTTAATCGAAAGCGGGTGATTATTATCTAAGCTCACTTTTTTCCTTGCCAGAAGAAGAGAAAAACAAAACCCCACTGTATTCATATTTAAAACAGGAAGGACTAGAACTCCACCTGGCTGTCCTAGGATTATCTCTGTTACCTACCTGTTAGGCTCCTGCCCCAATTTTGTTTGTTAAATACGTGTTTGGAGGTCCCTGTGTACAAGGGCCGTTGACACACACGGTCTCGTGTGTTCCTCATCATAAGCTGGGGACAGCTCGTGTGTCCTCCCTGTTTTGCACGATGAGGGAAGCAAGGAGGATGAGGGAGAATGGACCTGCCGAAGGCTCTGGGCAGTGGAGCCAGAACCCTGGCTCAGGTTGGCTCGATTCCACACCGAGGTCATCCCCCGGTGGCCCACTCTCGAACTCAGGGCTGGCGTGGCTGACTGCCACAGGTCCGCGGAGTGCCGTCGGAGGGAGCGCGCCGCCTTGCCTCGAGCGCTCCGGTAGAGGCCCGCGCGGGTGTCAGCTGCCGCTCTTCTGGTCTCCACACGTGTCAACCCACATCCTGGGGCCGTCAGAGTATCGTCTCCGTCTCAGCACTCCCTTCACCTCATTCTCATCAAAAACTAGGCTGAGAGAAATTACAGTAATAGAAAAACATTCCTGGCTTCGTCCCTAGATAAGGACGGCCCCCAGAAAGGTGTGGCACACGCATTCCTCTTGCCCAGCGGGGCTCCTGTGTCCTCGGGCTGCACATCCGTGCTTGGTCCACACGCGGCTAAGCTACGGAAGGAGCCCAGGGGTACCTCCTGCCGCATTCTGAGGGGCTGTCTTTGCGAAGGTTGTTCACTGTGTCCTGAAGTGACCTCTTAAAGGTTGACATGAGAAATGTCTTTCGAATCCACTGCTGGTGCATGACGTGCCCGCCTGGGATCTGCGGTCTTATTTCTAGGACCAGGTGTTCATTTTCACCTCCGCGCGGGAAGCACCGCGGGGACCCACTCTGAGCACCCTGAAGGAGGACCTAATGCCTGTGGTTCATGCCTCCTAATGAGCCCCCCATTTCAGGTGAATTTTTGGTCTTTTCAGACACGCACCTCTTTTCTTTTGCAATGTATTTTATATTTTTCTTATAAGCTATTTTGAATTTGAGGGGGAATGAGACAAGGCATAAATCAATAAAACTTTCAGGCTGACTGAGCCCACTTAATACAGCCAGCCGGTTAATAAGGAGTGGACGGCCTGAGGTGGCCTGCGCTCTTTCCACGAGCGGTCTGGCCACGTGGGGAAGGGAAGGCGCCTTCCTGCGTGTCCGGTGGCACCACGCCGCTGAGTTCAACATTTCAGGAACGCTGCGGAGAAGGCTGAAACCCCACCCTGCCCGCCTCCTGGGCCGATGCTGTAAGTCACCATGATTTACAGAGGAGATTCTCGGGGCTTCTTTCAAGTACCAGTGCATCTTTTACAATGATCTTGGAGTACCAATTATGTCCCAGAGGATTTCAAGTGCTTTGCTTCATTTAATCCTGTGAGATTATATAGTTGATTCTACTTCGTAGATACAGAATTGGAAGCTCAGAGAGGCTAGGGAACTTCTCTCAGACACACAGCCAGAACGGGGCCTTTTCCCAAAGCACCCACTCCCAGGATCCAGGGTCTCCCCCAGAGCAGGAACTCGGTCTGCTTTAGGGAAAGTGGGTTGAGGTGGATTGAGCACCCTGGGTACCTGCAGTCTATGGCAGGGGAAGCCATTCAAACTAAAATGCTGCGATTTGACCGAAGGGGGGCAGGGACCCCCAGCGCCAGTCTCCGCCTGAGCAGCTCCTGCATCAGTATTCTCCAAAGACCTAGCCTGCAGAACAGCTGTTTTGCCACGCGGATGAGTTTCCTGTTTCACAGATGGTCTGTTTGCATGTGACTAGCAGTTCTTTCATGGCGGAAGAGTCTTCATTTCTCCTTCCTTCCCTCTTCCCCTCCAAACCCTTCAGCCACCAGCTGATAGGTTGCCACACGAGGGCTAGAAATGGTAGCGGTGTGCAGTGGAACAATTCAGTCGTTGGTGACAGTTGATGGTCCCAGCAGAGAAGCAGCCCGAACACGCTCACGCCGATTCGCCTAGCGTGGGTCACTCCTTGTGAAGTCCTCTGCTGGGTGTCTGCACACAGCCAGGGAGCCTGCTCACAGGCGCGCCAAGGAAGGGCCTTCCAGCTGCTGGACCTGCTGGCTCCAGATGTGTTGCTCCAGCCTAAGACCCAGCTGAATTCCAGACCCAGGCCTCCCTGTTGATCTCTCCCCCTCCTGGCCAGATCCCTCCCCCCCTCTCACCTTCATGGTTCATCTGCTTCAAAGTTCTGCTGATTTTACAGCAAAATATGTCTTTAATAATCCCTACCTCCATTCTTGGTCCAGGTCTTCATCATTTCTCACCTGGGTATAACAACAAGCTTCGCAGCTGGAGTCTTCAATGTCCATCTGATCTCCTCCAGTCTGTCTCCCCTCAACTGCTGGGGGATTCAAACACAGATCTTTAAAACCACAGATCTGCTGATACCACTGTCTGCTTAAAATCCCTTGTTGACACTCCTTTAAAATCCAAATTATTTTTTTAAATATGTTTTTATTGATTTAAAACAGAGAGGAAGGGAGAGGGAAAGCAAGAAACATCGATGAGAAAGAGAAATTTGACTGGCTGCCTTCTGCAGGCTCCCTACAGGGGATCGAGCCCACACCCCCAGGCGACCTCTCAGTGCATGAGACAACACTCAACCAACTGAGCCATGCTGGCCAAGGCAAATCCAAATGATTTACCATGCCATCCCAAGCCCCAGCTAATTTCTAAGTGGACCAAGGTTGGCATACAGAACCCAAGCTGGGGAAGGGTGGGAGAGTTGGCAGAGTGCCCAGGTAGAGACAGAGACTGGCTATGCGGTTCAGAGTCCAGGGGCCAAGGCAGCTGGAGATGCAGACATTCAACCTAGACCGGCAGGCTGAGTACCGCATCTATGGTGTAACACAAGTGCAAGCACCGTGAGGAATGATGGCCGGTCTCAGGACAGGAGATGGTTGCTGTGGCCCTCATGAAACAGCCTCCCTGGAGAAGCTGGCGAGGGCAGACCTGGCAGGGCCATCTTCGGCAGATGCTCCCGGTAGGAAGGCACCACTGCCCTCCCTCCTCTGGCAGCACCAGGACAGCCCCTGTGCTAACTGCTGGTCCGTCTCCCCTCACCCCTGCAGGAGCCCAGCCCTCATTGGCTGCTTCATTGTGGACCGCCAGTACTTCCAGGAGATTGGCTTGCTGGACGAAGGCATGGAGGTCTACGGAGGCGAGAATGTCGAGCTCGGGATCAGGGTGAGCAGCGTTTCTCGCCCCCGGGCTGGGGTCAGCTCCCCAAATGGTGAATGAGTCTAGGGGTGGAGAAATGGGGCTCCAGGTTGAGGGTCACGGACTGATTCTGAATACCCATTCCCTAAGCGGGGCCCATGTGTGTATGATCAGGGCTGATGGGGGATGGGGCAGAGATGAGAACGGGACCTACAGAATTTTCAGGAAGAAAAAGACTTTGGAAACAGCATTGTCTGGGGGTGGGGACATGGAAGAGTTGAACTCAAGGGAACAATCTCTTTGTTGAAACCAAATGTAGGCTCGTCTGGGGTGAGCAGAGATATGTTCCAGGAGATATCGAGTGCCCGATGGACAAGACTGACCCTCAGAGTCAGCTCCCTGTGGGATCTGTACTCTGATATTCTCTGTCTCCGCCACAGTGGCCCACAGACCTTTCCTAAAGAGAGGGCTACAGGGAAATAAACACATGGTGCATAAACAGGATAACACAGCCGGGCTCGCTCCATGTTGGTGTCTGACCCACCGTGTGCTGGTCAGACCCACGGGCCCGTTCACGCCTCAAGCATTTTCTAGGGGTAGCCCCCATCCCACTGCAAAGTATGGGGCCCTCTGCAGCTGTCACTGCATGGTGTGAAGCCACAATGGACACCATTTAATTTCTCATCCTACAGGAATATTTCCTGGGCTCTGGCCCCTTTCCCTGGGCCCATGAAAAGATCATTCCAAAATGAACCCCCCCATGTCTGATAGAAAGCCTCGGTCCTCTGGTGGTTGGCAAGAGTGTGATGATAGATACAATGAAGGACCTTGTCCCAGGGGGAAGCCCATGCCTCTCTCTGGGCTATGGTCCTATCCTCATGAGAAACCCAACATTCAAGCGGTGGCTTGTCCCTTTCAGGGTCCACTGTTCTCTCTATGGGGATCTTTAAGCAGCCTGACACATCCATGCACTACAGGCTTGCCAGCCCTTGGAGGAAACCTCATCCCTGCTGGTCAAGATGTCCCTCCTCGCTGTCAGCCCTCCGTGCGCACTGAGCCAGCACTGGCTGGTTCCGACTGTGAGCCCACGCTCACCCCTTCAGCTTTACTGTCTGTACCTGGCGTCTCCCGCTCCTGATACTCAGTTCCCACTCAAGGACTCCAGCTTGGACACACCTTCCTGTCCACTCTGAACCCCTTAGTCCCCCCACCCCCGACAGTCAGCGGGCCCTGAACAACCTTTGCCTTGCCCTGCGGGGAGACTGGGCACCTCCAGTGAGCATCACACATCACTTGCAATAGCCTGACAGGTACTGCGTGAGTCGGACTTGTGGCCCAGACCTAACACTAGGGCTCTGGGGACTGGGAGCAGCTTCTCTGAAGCCGGGCTTAGAAACACTTCCAGACAACTGTATTCACTGAGACCCAGAGAGATTGCTTTAGAGGCAGTCAAATGCATGGACTTATTGGGGAGCTAATACATTCATAGAGGACAGTGCCTGCATAATCACCCTCATTTTTAAAGCTCGCCCCACACTGGTCATTTATCCACCCCTTGTGTCCTAACCATCTCATTTCAGCGCCACTCCTGGATAAACGCTCGCCCCCAAACATAGCATTTCTCACTGGGAGCTGCTGCCAGGAGCTGGCTGAGCGGGCAGGATGGTCCCTGGTCACTATGCTCTCTGGGTAAAAATGTCCAGGAATGGGGAAAGGAATTAGATTTGTGAACTCTGCTTCCAACATATATGTGAGTCAGTCGCGGAGCGGTGGGAGATGTCTGGCTTCTCCTCGCCTGGATGATAAAGCTCTTCTTTCTGCGTGAGGGCCTGGGTAGAGCTTTCAAATACTTGCTTAAAATCTCTGAGTGCTTTCTTGTTCAGGGTGTAAAATAGAGTATAAAATGTTGCCTGGCTTTTTTCTTTTTCTCCATCTCTTCCCTCACACTTTATGGAGATGAAGGTCATTGGACTTGAAGGAAAGGTGGCTTTTAAAGCAGGGACCCAGCAACCTGTTGGCTGGCAGAGCTGAGAACAGGGGGTGGGCCAGTGCATTCGAATTCCAGTTCCCCTTGAAAGGATACAGGACCGCTGAGCATCTCTGAGATAGGTTTTCACATTTTGTGGGATTGTTGGTGTTTTTCTCTCATGTTTTATGAGTCATCTCAGTACCTCACTTTCCTCTTCTAGGGTCTCCCCTCAATTACCCTGTCGGATGGTGTGTAAAAATGAGATACATTGCCTCTCTCCCCTCATTTAGTCAGAGGCCACTCTTCAAAGTCCTTACCCATTTGGCACAGAAATTGAGTTGTTTGCACAATTATTCAGTATCTGCTCTGTGCTACAGATTGAGCTGGGCACTTGACTGATGCCACCCATCTATAAAAAACACCCTAAAAAGTATCTGCTATTATAATATGCCTTTTTTCAGATTAAGGGCTTGCCTATGTTCTCAAGGTCTTACAATTTGTAAGATGTAGAGAAAGGATTCAATCCCAGGTCTTTATGATTTCAAAGACTAGATAGCTATGGCTGGTTTGGCTCAGTGGTTAGAGTGTCGGCCCTCAGACCAAAGAGTTGTGGATTCGATTCCAGTCAAGGGCATGCACCTCGGTTGCGTCCCTGGCTCCGGTTGAGATTATGCAGGAGGCAACCAGTTGATATGTCTCTCTCACATCGATGTCTCTCTCTCTCTTTCGCTCTCTCTCTCTCTCTCTCCCTCACACTCTATCTGAAGATAAAGAAAAATATCCTCGGGTAAGAATTTTAAAAAATTAATTAAATAGAAAAGAAAGACTAGGTAGATATACCACTGTGATCTGGAGATAAAAGCCCTTAGAACATCAAAAGGGAGGGGGAGGCTGTTACCATGTCCATGCGGCAATTTCCTTCTACTTTATTCATAAACATGTCTACTGAGTTTCCATTTAAAGCCTTATTCTTATTTCTAATAAGAATGCTTTTCTAATATGCTTTTTAAAAATTTATGATGTCTAAGTCCACAACTCAGTGGGAGTAGGAAGAAAGCTGCTATGGCCAAACAAGATGTAAAGAGTGTCAAATAAGACGTTGAACAGAATTCCTAGTGTATAGTTGATGGCTATAAAGTGCTAGAATGTGTAAGAAAACATTCAAGAGCTGGTAAAGAATTAGGAAATTGTTAGAGAATGTTATTGGGTTGAATTGAGTCCCCTCAAAAGTCTGTTGAAGTTCTATCTAATCCCTTGTACCTGTGAATATGATCTTATTTGGAAATAGGGTCTTTGCAGCTGGGATTAGTTTAAGGTGAGGTCATAGTGGGTTAGGGTGGACCCTAATCCAACATGACTGGTATCTTTGTGAGAGACAGACAGACACACAGGGGAGATGGCCATAGAAGATGGAGGCAGAGATTTGAGTTGTGATGCCACAAACCAAGGAATGTCTGAGGCCACCAGAAGCTGAAAGAAGGATCCTTCTTTCAAGGAAGGTTTCCTCCATGAGGTTTTGGAGGGAGTATGACCGATATCTGATTTTAGACTTCTGGCCTCTGAACTATGAGAGAATACATGTCTAGGTTTTTTGTTTGTTTGTTTGTTTGTTTGTTTAGGTGATCCAGGTTGTGGTGCTTTCTTATAACAGCCCAAGGAAATACAAAACCAAAAATTAAATGCAAGTAGGAACCTAGAGAAAACCTGAGTATGTTATATTTGAAGAACCTGGTGATTTTAAACTTGGTTTCTCTATTTCATAGAGTACCAGGGAACAGGATACAAAGCCTAAGACTTGCCCAAGATGAAGAGTGTAATAAAATATCCCCCCCTACACATACACACATACACACACACACACACACACACACACACATATACACATACACACACACACACACACACACACACACACACACACGGCTCCCATAAAGCTGGGACTCCAAAGACCAGTTATCTCAGTATAAAGATGAACTAGAAATACTCCCATCCTCATCCCCAGTGGTAGGTCAAAAATATTCTGTCTTGGTCATGTGCTGGAAGATAGGAAAAAATTGTTCTCTGTAAATTCCTTCCTTTGGTTTATAACTTAAAATAAAAATACTTTCTGGTTCAGAAAACCTCAAGAATAGTATTTAACTTAAAGTTGTTGGAAGTCCTTAGGCATCTGCAAAAGTATATACAAATCCTCCCTGGGGAAAGACCCCTTTAACTCAAGGCCACAAACTTCCCACAGCTTGAGTTTTAAGGAATACGCAGTCACTCACACACACACACACACACACACACACACACACACACACACAGAGGAAGCACCAGCAAAAGCATGGACAGCCAAATTTGATCCACAGAGTGTTCAGGTATTAAATCAACCAGACACATGATGTAAAATAAGTTGTGAAATATATTTAAATAAAAATTTTAACACACTGAAAATATGAATAAGATGTAAGAGACTAAAAAAAAAAAAAGATCAGTTATATTAGACTAAAATAAATTTCAAGCATAAAAAATGTAAAAAAGGAAAGTAAAGCTTAATGTATGTAGTAAACAGTTAGGAGGACATTGTTAAAGGAAAGAAATTAGTAAACTGGAAAATAGACTTGAAGAAATTATTTAAAATCAGCCTAGGAAGATAAAGAAAAAAATGTGAAAAAAAGACGTTGAGAGACAGTAGAATTGAGGGAGAAGATCTAGTATTTTAGAATTCTAAATGGGGATGATAAAATGAGAGGAAACAAACCAATATTTAAATAGATAATTACTGATAATATGTCAAAACTAGTGAAAGGCCAATCCTCAAATTCACAAAGTCAGTCTATCCAAAGCAAGATAAATACAAACATATTCACACTAGATATATAGTGAAACTATTGAATGCCAAACACAATGAAAAGATCTTAAAGAAGTTATAGAGAAAAGATAGACTACCTAAAGATTGATAGTAGAGTAACAGTTGACTTTTAAATGGCAATAATGGAATCCAGACGACCATGAAATAATGTTTTAAATATGCTAAGAGAAAATAATCATCAATTTATATATGCATATTTATTAA